CACACACACACACACACACACACACACACACACACACACACACACACACACACACACACAGTCAAATGTGCAGTGATGGGATTTGCATGTGAGCAGATTCTTGTGCAATCAGACAGCTGTTTGAAGGGTTAAGTTGTACACAGTTTTACTTTTTTTTAATGCAGGTATTCAACTTTTCTGGGGGTCTCATAACTCAACTAGGGCTGCAAACATGATTAACTTTTAAAAGCTTCACTTTTACAGGAGGGTGCAAATCCCTTCAAGGCACAAAGGAATTCTCATCCCTCAGGGGACACAAATTAGGCTGAACTGGTAAGAAAAGTGAGCATATTGAGCCATGTGATTCAGGCTCATCCAAGAGCCAGTTACAGCCAGTGCAGATCAAAGGCATCCAGTCCATTTCCCTGTATTATCTTCCTTCCTGCAGCCTTGTTTTCCAGGGATTTTCCCTCATGACTCTCCCACAGGAACCTCAGCTGCCTCTGGCCATGTTGCTGTAATGCTGTAATACCAACCACCTGACCCTTCTCTCATGCACGCAGTTTGGGTTTGTGCTCCTAATTTGTGTGATTATTCAGTGGGGTTTTCTGGGGGAACAGCTGGACTCAGTGGGCCTGGTTTAGCTGTTGGCTCTTGCATTTTATTTTAGAAACATACTTTAAAAAAACAGCTTACATTTAAATTAGAGTTTGTCCTAAAAAATTTTTTTTTGATTTATTATTTCTTACAGAAATTGCTGTTGAGTTTGGGTGTAGTTCTTTTTTTTTTTTGGCATTAAGAACAGCTTCTTGACAGTTCGTTGTAACTATTTCTGGTACGGTTTTGTCAGTAAATGGATCAGCTGAAGGACCTGATGCATCTAAATGTTCACAAAGGTGGGGTTCAAAGCGCACTGTGGGTCCTGAAACATCAGTGTGATGTCTTGAAAGGATTTTCTGAATTAATTACATTTAAAAATGACTTCTAACCATTATTTTTGCCTTATTTGCTACAAAAGAGTGAGGTTAGTGTACTTAAAAATGTATGAAATTAGCATATTGAAGATTATTACTATGCCCTGCATTATTTGACCTGTCGATACCAAGGTTTATCATCCAAAGCTGGGGGCAAAAGCTAGAAAGTTTGGGAACCAGGGATCTAGGAGAAATGTTTCAGTGTTTTAATTTTTAGATATATATTTTTATTATATAATTTGTTTATTTTATTTTTAAACTTTTATTTTTTCATTTTTTTGGTCTACATGTTTAAGGTTATGCTACATTTCATGAGAGCATGCTGCCAAGATATAACAAGTTTTTAGCCAGTATAGTGGCGCTCTAGCATTAACGCAGTTTGTGGTGAAAAACAATTGTCTGCTTGTCAAATGTATTTAATTTTTTTTGTTGGTATTATTTATTATTATTAAAAAAGTAAATATTAATATTCTTCTGTAGCACAAAAACGTGATAAAAATACAATGTTTGATTTTTTCTTTTTTCAAAATTGTTTTATATGTTGAAATCTATCAGATTTATTTATTTATTTATTTATTTATTTATTTATTTATTTATTTATTTTACAATAGGTGCCCTGGTTTTAAACCAATATAAACTTTTCTGCATTGATGGTGCTTTTCCAGATGTGTAAACTGGCCATGCCATGGACACTAATGTACCCCCACACCATCAGAGAAGCAGACCTTTGAACTGTGCGCTGATAATAGGTTGAACAAACCCTCTCATCTGTATTACAGAGGACATGACGTCAATTGTTTCTTGAAAAAAATTACAAATCTTTGATTCATCTGACCACAGAACAGTTTGTAGTTTTGCCTCAGTCCATTTGAAATGAGCTTTGGTCCAGAGAAGGATGTGTTCATCTGCATGGTGTTTGCATATGCGAATTTAAATCAGGGTAAATTATTTTTCATTTGTTTACATATGGCTTATTTGCACAATAGAGCTTTAGCCTGTATTTGTGGATGACACGGTGAGCTCGGTTTTCAGACAATGAATTGTGGGAGTGTTCCTCAGCCAGTGCAGTCATGTTCTGGTTTTATTTGCATTTTATACAATGTTCCAACTTTTTAAAATTTATTTATTTATTTTAATATTGTGGTCGTAGAAGAAAGTCTGTTTCCTTAGAAATGACTTAAGAGTTTTGCACATTATTATAAGTGGAACGTGTAGGTTATTTTAAAAAAGTCAAACATCAAATATCTGTTAGGGGTGCAAAAAAAGTCTTGTAAACTGTTTTCACTTTATCTTAAAGTCAAATGGTGAAGTCTAAATGCACTACTTTGTGTTTACTCCTTGTTCTTTTCTCTGTTTGACCCCTGACCCCTCTCTTGTTTCCTGTTTTCCGTCTCACCTGTGTGTCCCCTCCTCCTTTTTTTAAATCTCCCATTCTGTGTTCTGCATCTCTTCCTCTCCTCCTCTCCTGTCAGGGGTTACCTGGTTGCCGCGCCCTCTGTTTTTCGAGCGGGCGTCGAGGAGCGCGTGAGCGTGACCATCTTTAACGCTCGAGCGGAGACGCGGGTCCAGGCCCAGCTGTCCATGAAGGGACAGACGGTCGCCCACGGCCACAGCTCCGTGCTCGGTGAGGACCGGGTCGAAATGCAGAGTTCAGATATTCTGAAGAGGGGTTCAAAAGATCTGAACTGAGTTATTGTTTCATCAGAAGTGATTCATTTTTGCTACTGCGCCTATAGAATAGAATAGAATAGAATAGAATAGAATAGAATAGAATAGAATAGAATAGAATAGAAAGAGCCTTTATTGTCCCA